ATACCCTTGAACTGGTAGAGCTCCATTGAAACCACTGTAGCCTTATTGTGGTGCTACAACCTCTGAGCTGCTTGACATGGGGATCCCCTGGGATGGCTCTGGAGCTGCTGCTTTGGTCAGCACTGTCTCAGCATGGCTTTGTCCCTGCTGGCATCACCTGTGACTTGTCCACAGTGGTGGGGGGCGGGGTTGGCATCCTGTCCTGGGTGGCACTTTGGGGCTGTTCCGTGGCTGACCTGCCCCACCACACGGCTAGAGATTCTCCTGGTCCCACAGTGGCTGTGGTGCTTTGCTCTCCTGGTGAGAAACACCTTTCCTGAGATGTCCCAGGGTGGTCATGGCTCATGGTGATCCATGTAGAAGAGCTGGTCTTCCCTTCAGCTGCTTGTGGATGGCTTAGACCTGCCTGTAGCAGACCTTAGATGTGACTTCTGCCTATCTTTGCTCATTAGCACACAGGAGAGATGGATATGGGGCTTGGCTGGTGGTTTTCCAGCCTGCTGGGAGTTCCTGGAGAGCCCTTTTGCAGCCCAGCAGGTGCCCCAGCCAGGGCTTTGCTGCCATCACCTTGTTCCCTGGGGGCATCTCCAGTGCCACATCCCAGCCATGGCTGGTGGAACTTTCCAGCTTCCCAGCCTGGCTCCCAGCCTGTCCAAGAGCCCAGGTGGATGTGTTAGCAGTGCTGGCTTGGCATTGGCACCAATCTGGTCGAGCCATCCCTGGGCCGTGGATGTCCTTCCCAGTGACAGCTCTTCCTGATGGATGGCTTTAGCAGCTTGTCAGCTCTGTGTTCCCAGTTCACAGTGTTCCCTCTGAAGGTGATTATTAACCCGGTTATCACCAAAGCTCTTCACGACTTCCTCTTCTCGGAGGGACATCCATCCATCCCAGATTATCTCAGATGTACCGGCTGAGCCAGCTGATGTCAGCCCTGCTGTCTTATCTTACTCATCCCTGCCCAAGAGAAGCTCAAATCCTTGATGTGAGAGTCCTGCCACAGCTTTTGGGGAGAGGATCTCCCCTTGGTGGAGACGGTGGCTGCCGGAAGATGCCGTCCAGCCCCGGGTGCAGCAAGCAGCTGATTCTAGGAAATTCCTGTGCCCCTTTTCTGCGAAGCACCGCAGCAGTGCTGCTGGTGACACTTCCTCCACCCTGTCTGCTCGTGAGCCCAGGGTTGCTCCTCAGCAGCAGCAGCATTACTGCCCAGCCAGGGCTGGGTTACCTCTGGGATCCCAACCTCCTTGGCATCCCACCAGGCACTGGCCTTGTGCAGGGGGAGGTGTCTGGGCTCACTCCTGTCCTGGCTGCCCCAGGGCACTAACAAGCTCCTGCCTTCATTAGCCCCACTGGTTGCAAGTAGCATCTGCTGCTCACAGCTTTGGTGGGAGATAAGGCGTGTGGGTGGCTTTTAGTGACAGTGCTGGGGTGGGCTCCCGACACTGATTTATCTCCCAGCTGCTCGTGTGCCATTGGGTTGCCGATGTTGATGCACCAGCTCCCGAGAAATGGGCTTTAATTCAGGAGCTGTGGGTGCATCCACACTGGCCTCGGGGCTCCTCGTCATCTCTGCCTGGCTGCACTGGTTGTCTAGGCAGAAAATCAGATTTCCCCCCTTCTCTTGGTTTGTTAAGTGGAAGATAACTTCCCAGGTGGAGGGGATGGCGTGTGAGGCTCCAGGAACACTTGGCTAATCCGCTGTAATTCACACCATCTGGCTATTGTCCCTGGCACAGGGAGGGGGTAGGTTGCTCATGTTCCCCTTGTGGGGATGGACATCCCCAGCTCTGCCTTCAGCCGTGGTCATGGGTCTCCCTGGGAGGGCTGAGGGTCTGTGTGACCCCTGCTGTGCCCCATAGGACCTGCTGGAGGGATGTGGATGTGGCTTTTTATCCTGGGCTATGGAAACCATCAGCAATCTCAATCCAGGTGCCTGTGCCAACTGTACCATGTGGGAGGGGTCCTGGGGGAGCAGGGGGCAGTGTGTGCCCTCCTTGGCTCAGGTCCTGCCTGGAAAGGAGGATGAGGCTTTGCAGAGATGCCCACCTGGGTTGCTTGGGTGGGGGGCTTCTGCATTGTCCACTTGCTGGGAATTTGGGGATGGGATTTGGATCATCCCTGAAGGCATCTCCTGGCTTTAATTTAATTTAATTAGGCTTGTGGCGTCCTGAACCTGGGTGCTGAGGACCAGCAGCCCAGCCCTGATCCATCTGCCTGAGCCTGGACAGGGGGGCTGCTCCCGGGGGGCTCCGTGGGGAGTGGGGACATGGAATGCCGTGATGCCGTGAGAGCCACTGGCTGGGGTGGGGGTTCCTGTGGACAGTGATGCCAGTGGCTGTGATGGGTGAGGGGCTGTGGGTGCCCCTGCCCAGCCCCACTCTCCTGGAAGGACCTTGGCTGTGGGGGTGGTGGCCAGTGGGTGGCCAGGTGGCCATGGTGGCTCAGCTGCTGTGGGCACAAGTGCTCCTGCCTTCCCCTCCCTACCTCTCCTGTGTCCTGCCAAGAATTTGTTCCCTCTCACTCAGGGCTGACATCACCCCTTTATCGCTCCTTGCTCCCAATGTTCGCAGCATCCGGGAGGTGTTGGCCACAGGGCCTTGCCCTGCCCACGCAGGATGGTGCCGGGCATTTCATCCTGCCTGGACCTGCACTGGGCGGGGAGCCCCTCCCTGAGTCCCTTTTGGGAACAGCCATCCCCTCTGGTGGCACCATCCCTGCTTGGTGCCACCTCAGCCTGGGCTTCCCCATCCATCCCAGGATGGAGCAGAGATGAACGGCCCCAAGTAGCTGAGTTGGGATGAGTCCCTGCTCAGGTGCCTCCCTGCAGTGTTGCCTGGCTAAATCCCATCCTGTGCCCGGAGAAGCTGGATCCAAGGTGGTGGTGAACCCTGTCAGGGCCAGAAGGCCATGTGTAGCTTGGCATCCCAGGCAGGATTTCAGCATGAGCCTATGGAAACAAGGCTCAGCATATTAAATCATTTGGCCTTGGTGCTGCAGCTCCCTTCCAGATGACGGTGTCCGTGAGCATGGCACCATCCCGGGGCTGGGAGGCTGCTGACAGTGGTGACAGCTCCATCTTGGTGAGGCATCCTGGACAGGGTGTTGGGACACACGGCCCTAAAGCTCTGCGTGGGAGGTGGGATTGATGTCCTGGGATTTGGGGAACAGCAGGGGGCACCCAGATGATGGCCTGCAGAGCTGGGGAGGGGGCGATGCTGCCAACGGGTGCCTGGTGAGCAGCCCCTGGGGCTGCTGACTGCCCACACTGCCAGGATAACCCTGGGGGAGCTGGTCCATCTCAGGGATGCTCAGCCCTGGGGCAATCTCTCTTCAGCTTCCACACTGGGGTCCCAGGATGGGGTGGCTGTGGAGGGAGCAGCTCCAAGGAGCTGCTGCTGTGCCCAGGAGCTCACCAGGCTCTGGGCAGCTTCATGGCCACATGGAAATTCTTCAGCCAAGCTGTGCTTTGCACTGCTGAGGTTTTGCAGGTCTCCCTGGTCCTCTCCCACGGTGTGTGGCTCAGGGATGAGGATGCACAGCTCGTGGTTCAGGGATGAGGGTGCTCTGCTTATGGCTCGGGGATGAGGATGCACAGCTCGTGGCCTGAGGGTGAGGATGTACACAGCTCGTGGCTTGGCGATGAGGATGCTCAGCTTGGAGCTCAGGGATTAAGGTGCACAGACTGCACTTCCACAGTTCAGGGATGAGGCTGCACAGCTCAGGGCTCAGGGATGGACTCACAGCTCACATCTTGGGAGAGGAAGCCACTCCTATGTTTCATTGGGATGAGCAGCGCTGCAGACCTGTGCCCCCAGCCCTCCATCAGGTGCCGTGCCGGCAGGGGCAGGGGGTGGTTGTGGTTTGGCAGCTCCCAGGCCGTAGCCGTGTTATTGCCCGTCTCTGCTCCGCTCAGCGAACTGCGGCACTGATGTTGAGCAGTGTCTGCACGTGGGGGCCTCGGTGCTGGTGCAGGAGCAGGGTGAATACCTGAGATAGCCAAACGTCAGTGCAGTGCCGTGCCCGACTCACCTGAAAGAAACGTGTCCACACCAAACCGGGACTGCGGCTTCAGCCGGCTCCTGTCGGCGAGGAAGCACAGGCGGTGCAGGTGGGCTGGGTTGCCAGGCTGGCACAGCTCAACCCCTGTGGTGGCTCAGCTGCTGTCACTGGAGAAGGACACGATGCCGTGGGGTCAGTCCTCTTTGCTCTCCCTGTGCGGCCGGGAGGGCACCCCAATGGCAATGCCGGAGGCCAAACTTTTTTGCTTGCTCAAGATAAGTAAAGCCAGGGCTTGTCATGCCAAAGTCCCAGTGGAGGCTGGTGTGTCCCACTCCTGGGGGAGCCGCTGCAGTGTCTGGAGCTTCTGCAAAGTCCTCGGGAGTTGCTGCTGACCCGCTGCTCCGGCAAAACGCCGGCTGGCCCCTGGTGCGGGAGTTTGCCCCGGCTTGCCGAGCCTGCGGAGCGCTGCTGGATTTTGCAAACTGGACTCAGGCTTTCTTCTGCTCCTGCTACAGCAAAAGCCTCTCTCTGCTGGCCTGGGGTCTGTGGGGATGCCATGGGGGGTTTCAGGGCACCTACTGTCCTCTGCTCCGCTCCCTGTGCTGGGCTTCTCCCGTGCTCGGTCTGACCATGTCCCTCCCACCGGCACAACTGCAAAACCAGTTGGCGAGCTGGGAGCTGGGGCGGGAGGAACTGGCGCCGGCATCTCCTCGTGATGCAGCATCCTGGGAGGGCGGCGAGCCCAGCGCCAGCCTCGCCGGGGCCGCACAGACTGGCTCCAGTGATCCCGGTGGGGCTGAGCAGCGGTGACGGCTCCTGTGCCAGCTCCAGCATGGCCAGCAGCTCGTGTGCTGGTGGCCATGGGGAGCGAGCAGGCCCTGGGCAAGCTGCCATGCTTTGGGGCCACGTGTTATGGGCCCGGGGGTTTCATTGTCCTTCCCTGCACTCTTGGCCAGGCCTAAGCACAGCAGATGTGGAGCTGAGCAGCGTCGGAGACCTTAAATAACACCAGAGCATCCTCACCCTCCTGGCCCCGGGCCTCCTGCCAGCCTCCCAGGAGTTTTTTTTTTTGTCTGTGTGAATAAATTAGAACTTCCGAAACAAACCCTCTGACCGCCCTCCTCCTCTAAGGCAAAACAAATCCTGCCTGGCTTGGACAGCACGTGGCCGTGTTTGCTCCCTCCTTGCCAGACTTGCCCGAAACAATCTGGCGAACTTGTCTCTCTCAGGTTTTGGGGATGTTTCCTGGGGTTTTGAGGCTCATTTGGTGATAGGAAACTTCATGTTTGGACTGGAAGCTTTTCTTGCTGGCTGCGTGGGAGCAGCACAGGTAACCGTGTCCCATCAGCTGCGTCATGGTGAGGTTGCGGCCACGAGCACTTTTATTTTTAAACCTTATCTTTATTGCAGTTTTCTCCTGCACTGCTGGGAAAGGTAAAATGCACCTTATCTGTTTGGCTGCTGGCAGCACGAGCTGTTCCTGGGGAGAGGAGAGGTGGACGGTGCTGCTCCGGCAGCACCTTGAGCATTCCCTGCGGCACCAGGGTGTTGGGGGTGATGCGGGGGCAATGCCAGGGGTGATGCTGAGCCAGCCTGGCACTCATCCATGATGGATGCTGGGTGTTGCATGGGAAAGGGAGGTCCCTGCAGCCCCTTCCTGCCAGCTGAGCACCTCCGGGGTGTGTTATCACTCTGGCCTCTGGCCATGGGCTTAATTATGGGTTTCTGACGCAGCAATAAAGTAAAGCTCTAAAGTTGGGGACTGGCCCAGAGCCGCTGAGCTGATGGCTTAGCTGGCACCTGAAGAGCTGGAAGTATCCTGAAGCGGGTGTGTAAGCTGGGGGGCAGCCAGTCCCTGTGCCCCCCTGAGGCTGGTGGGAGGGGTGCTGGGATCTCGGGGGGTGACAGTCCCCAGGGTCACAGTTGCATCCATCCCAGGGTGGCTCCTGCACAGGGGCCCTTCTCAGGCATGTCCTGAGGAGCACCCAAGGGTGCCAGGCAGGAGGGTGCAGGGCCATGGGGCTGCCCCTGCAGCGCTCCCCTGTTAATGGTTAATGTGCCTGGGCAGCAGTTGTGGCACGGACTCCCCGAGCTATCAGCGCTGCCATCGGCCCCGGGAACAGCCTGTACCTTGCTGCCGCTGTTTGTTTGCATCCCAGCCACTCCACCCTGGCCACTGGCCTTGTCACCGCCCCACAGTACCCAGCTCCCACCCAGGCTGTCCCCCAGCCACCCCAATGGTGGTTCTGCCAGTGACAGTGTCACCTGTGGTGCCCCTGTTTGAGGCGAGATGGAGGAAATGAGGCTGGGACCGGGCATGGAGCACCCAGTGCCCTCCAGAGAGGGACATCCCCGTCGGATGCTCCCCTGAAGGATGCAGGGTGGCAGGAGCAGAGCAAAATCCCTTTCCCCCCACACTTTTTAATCTCCTCATCCCCCAGCCAGGCAAGGGGGTGCTCCGCCTCTTGGTCACTATTTCTGAGAGGCGAAAAGCATTCTGCAAAAGGCAGCATCTCCCACGGAGCCTTATGCCAGCTCTGAAAGGTGCTTGATGGAGCTTTCAGAGGCTATTTTGGGGGCTGACGGCTCCCACCCCGCACCGCTGCAGGGCTCTGGGCTGTGCCGGTGCCTTGCTGGTGCCTGCGGGTTTGCCTGCACCTTCAATTAGGGAGGCGCTCGGGGCGATGGGGTTGCAGATAAGGGAATGTTTTTTCCGCAACAGAGAGAAAACAGCAGGTCCTCGACCTGCAAATGCCCCAGGGCAAGGTCACGTCCTGGTGGGGCAGGACCTGCAGCAGGGTGACAGCCGAGGTTGTCCCCAGGCAGGGGGAACTGATACTGGGGTGGAAATTTGGTCCCTGGATGAAGAGGCAGAGCTAGGGGGTCTCTGGGGGCTGTCACTGGCCACTGCAAGGCTCCTGTCTCTTTCAGGATGTGACTCGGGCTTCGGGCAGGCGACAGCCCGGCACTTGGACACCATGGGCTTTCGGGTGTTCGCCAGCGTGCTGGACCTGCAGAGTCCTGGTGCCCAGGAGCTGCGCCGGAGCTGCTCGGCAAGGCTGACACTGCTGCAGATGGACCTGACCAAGCCGGACGACATCCAGCGTGTCCTGCAGCACATCCAGGCCCACACCAACAGCACAGGTAGGAGCCCTTGGCGGCCTCCCAGGACCCCTCACAGCTCCCTGGGACCTCAGCCTGTAGCCAGCATGGCAGTGCCAAGCCTCTATGTGCCCCCACAGCGGGCTGCATCCCTGTGGGCACCCGTGCCAACAGTCTCTGCTGAAAGCGCTTGTCCTGGGGCACCCTGCAATTCCCCCCAGGACCCCTGTGAGCCTGGGGGGCAGCTGGGATTCCCGGGGTGGGGGTCCCCACTCAGATCACCTTCTCAAGCACCCTGTCCCTGCAGGACTCTGGGGCCTGGTGAACAACGCCGGCTTCAACGACACCATCGCTGACGCCGAGCTCTCGCCGCTGGGCAAGTTTCGCACCTGCATGGAGGTGAATTTCTTTGGCTCCCTGGAGCTCACCAAGGGGCTGCTGCCCCTGCTCCGCTCTGCCGGCGGCCGCATCGTCACCGTCAGCAGCCCCGCAGGTGAGCAGCCCCCCTCCAGCACCCCTAATCGAGCACCCCCGTGGTGTGGTGTGGCTCCCACCCCCTGGGCACCTCCATATTCCCAGCCAGCTGCATCAGACAGGCCCCAGGCACCATAGGTTGAGCTGGTGGTATCACTGAGCCCCACAGGGGGCACAGGGAAATGGGGAGCTGGAGGGCCTGGGGACAGGCAGCCCAGTTACAGACAGCACAGGCAACCCCAAACCCAGCTGCCACACACCTCCACCATGGACAACAGCCCTGGCCAAGGTGGGAAAACCAGCCTCCTTCTGCCCCTCCCCCAAAATTTTTCTTCCCATTAAAACATATTAATCCTCCACTGGGGTTCATGACCTTAAGCTTTGTCTGTATGGGGAGGTAAAACCACTTTCCTCTTCCCTCCCTACTTTTTCCCCCCACTAAAACATTAATTTGAATCTACTCTCAGTTGTTTTCTCAGCAAATCAAACCCTAAGCCCTCTCTGTGCACAGAGGTCGGGGGCACAGCCCAACACAAGCCACTCCACGCCCCCTCCCCAGTCCCTGCCTGCCCCCTGGCCATGCAGGCACCTTCCTGAGCACCCGCTCACTCATCCCTTCCCTCCTGCCAGGAGACATGCCCTTCCCCTGCCTGGCAGCCTACGGGGCCTCGAAAGCAGCCCTCAGCCTGCTCATGGACACGTTCCGCAGCGAGCTCCAGCCCTGGGGAGTCAAAGTCAGCCTCATCCTGCCTGGCTACTACAAAACAGGTAAGAGGGTTTTTGTTCGCTGCCTGCACCCGCAGGCAAAGGGCAGCTATTCCAGGGAGGCAGGAGATGGAGCAATGGGATGAGCAGCTGGTGGTGCAGGATGCAGCTTCTGAGCATCTCCAGCCACCTCCCTGGGGACAGTGGCTGTCCTGTGGGTGTTGTGCTCTGGTGGATGGGAAACAGGGTCAGGATCAAGTCCTGACAGCAGATCTGATGGCATAAGGGCTGGTTGAAGCAGCTCAGCCACATTTATGGTAGCACTATCCCCACTGCAGGCAGAGTCTGAGACCTCTGGTCGAGTCCGGTGCTACCAAGAGCCACCATGGTGCTCCCACTGCACTTCCCTTGTGGCAGATCTTTGCCAGAGTTTCAGCAGGACCTTGTCAAGAGGCTGGGAGGTGACTGGGGCTGCCGGCACCCCTGGCAGGGGGGCTGGAGGAGGAGGGGCCACACAGCTCACGGGGGGACCATGTCCTTGCAGGGACGACGTGCGACCCAGCCTTCTGGAACCTGCAGAAGCAGCAGCTGTTGGCCAGCCTGCCCCAGGAGCTGCTGCAGGCCTACGGCGAGGACTACGTGGAGGAGATCAACCACCAGTTCATCCAGTTCATGAAGGTGGCGGTGGAGGACCTGAGCGCGGTGGTGAACAGCATCACGGACGGGCTCCTGGCTGCCAACCCAGCCGTGCGCTACTACCCAGGGCAGGGCCTTGGGCTCATGTATTTCATACACCGCTACCTGCCCTATTTTGTCCGAGACTTGTTCCTGAAAGGATTCTTCATCAACCCCAAGCTGCCGCGAGCGCTGCGGCGGGAGCACCACAACGATGTGAAGAAGGCCTGACCTCGGCCCGCGCGTGGCCTCTCCCGGGATTTCCAGGTGCGCCGGCCCCCGAGCGCGCGCGCGGCCGGAGGCAGCGCCCTCCTGCACCGTGGGGGGAACAATCAGCACTAGACGTTAAAAACCAAATTTCTTTCCAAAATCAGGTAGATCTATTTTCTATTGTGCGAGAATCAACATTTTCTAGAGACCTTGGTTTTTTGTATTTTTTCTAACCGTGCATCCTCCAAGGGGCCCATCCCTGCCTGACTGAGCAGCTCCGCAGGCTGGGATGTACCTCGGGCATTTCCTCAGCTACCCACCATCTTCCGTACTGCTCTCAGAGCTGTTCGTCTCCGTCACCTCTTGGCTGGGTCAGGGCTGGGACCCTGTGGCTGCTGCCTCCCTGCCACTCATTACACACTCCACGTGCTCCCGGCGAGCGCAGGGGCCGAGGCCGGGCTGCCAGTGCTGCAGAGCTCTCCACAAGATGAACCACGTGATTGTCACTTTTTCAATAAAGCCGTTCTTGATATTCCAGCAGGTTCTGGCTGTCTCCTTCCGCAGTGCAGCGCCGTGATGCTGGTCAGGGATGCCCTGCCTGCGGGCAGAGCTCAGCCGGGTCACGGCTGGCACCACGCTGGGCACTGTAGCAGGAGCCATGGGAGTCCCAGAAAAGGGGTCAGTCTGCCAGGAAGGGCTTGTGCCCACTCCCTGCTCCTCCCCAACCCTACCCCAAAGGCTTCCTTTCGCTTTGCTCCAATGCTGTGGTCCTGCTGGGGCAAGGATGGAAGGGGTGACAGTGCCGCGCATGGACAGCCCCACGCAGGGTGACAAGCCATGCAGCTCCCTAAGGTTGCACCCCTCAGGCACCCCTTTAGCTCAGCACCCAGCTGCACCCACACACCAGGCACTGCCCTGGGCCCCACGGGGTGGTATGACCACCTTGCCCGTGGAAGAAACAAGTGTCCCAAGTCACGCAGGAGCCACACCAGGCTCCGCTACCACAACTATCAGATTCCCTGGGGAAGAGGCCCTGTGGCTGATGGAGGCTCTGCCTGGGGCTGTGGGAGCAGATGCCCAAGTAAGCAGGAGAGCACAGTGCAGTAGGCAGATATTTATTGATGTAGAGAGGAGGGGGTCACAGGAAAACAAACTGCAGAGGTGACCACAGCACAAGCTGGGACAGAGCCGCTCTCCACTGATCCCTCCCCACAGCAGCATGCAGCGTGTTTGCCACCAGCAAGGCTCCTCTGCTGCCATAGCACATCTCCCAGAACTTGAGTGCAAGTAAGAGCTAGCCAGGACAGAGCAGCAAGGAACAGGGCTGCCACACCATGCCAGGGCTTGGCTCCCACCCCAGGCCATGGACAGGCAGGGCCTAAGACATATCTGCCCTCGCTGGGGTGACCAAGGGCTGCTCTGTCCCACAGCCAGCTGGGCTGTACAGCTCCATGGCACTGCCAGCCTGCCCTCCACAGGTGAGGAGCTTGGATGTCTGCCCTGAGGAGGTGCAGGGGTCCATCAGCATCTGCAGAGACCAAAAGAGCCCTGGCTCTTGCATGGTTGTGACAGTAAACTGCGACCTGTGGGTCTCCAGAGGAGGAAGGGGCTCAGCCAACTTATGGAACCCTGTCCAGGGCAGCAGAGAGACTGATGAGAGCTGCTCTTGCAGACACAGCAAGGCTGCATGAGTGCAAATGCTGCCAGAGTGGGAGGAGTGTGTTCCACAAGCCCTCTGGCTCTGCCCTCACGTTCCCAGAGGCTCTGTCCCAGTCTTGGCTAGGGCTGTTCAGTCCCTCCCAGGTCAGGGTTAGCTACAAGGGGATGCAGGGATTGCACAGCAGCATGGGCTACGCTACAGACCACACTCAAACTACATCTCACAGGAACAACACTGAGTAGGAGGTGTGCAGAGCACTGACAGAGGACCCCCAGCCATGGCAGACCTGACCCGTTCCTCTGTAACAGTGGGACCCCCTTGGAGGAAGCTCCCCCCAGCTCATGCTCGCTCTGTGAGCGTAAGCGTACACAGCAATTAGTACAGGAACACTTGGACCACTGGACACACAACAGGAGGTGTCCCTCCTGCTGCACAGGGCCAACCCTGGGCCGCTGGTCCCTCCGGACGCCTCACAGCACACACAACTCAAACTTCAGCTTGTGAATAATTTAACTAGCAACTATACAGTTTCCTCATCTGATCCAGTTCCACAGATGGGACATCCCTGGAGTCTGGGTAAGGGACAACCCAGGGAGTTAGACGGGGGTCCCTACGGACTCCAGGGGCGGGAGGGTCAGGTAGGAGCAGAGCAGGGTTAGAAGATGGGAATGTAGTTGTCGATCTTGGTCCTGTGCCGCTGGGCGATGCACTCTGCGATCCACACGATGTTGCGGCACTCCTGCTCCTTCAGCTTCACAAAGGCGTAGAACACCCCGAAGTGGAACTGGTTGAGAAAGGCCAGCTTGTTCAGCTTCACCTGGGGAAAGCCCAAAGGAGGAGATGTCACTTGTCCACCTCAGATGGGAAGAGCTGGTCAAGGTAAGTGTGGACCCGCTTGGGAGGGCCCATGACTTCCCAGCAGGCTGGAAGGCTCAGCACAGGTATCCTGCTCTGCATCTCTCTAGGTCCTTGGGACAGCTCCAGCCTACAGCACAGGACTCAGGACAGGCTCTGACATTGAAGGGGGAAATATTTATACCCTCAGGTACCGTGAAAATCTTCCTTTCCCATGTAGTTACACTCTGGTTTTATTATCGATGGACCAAATATCCACAAGCAGTCCCAAAACGTGCTCTAATCTGTCTGGGTGAGAAAACATTCCAAGCATGCTGGGCCCCCATTCCCATGCAGGAGCAATGTGTTTTTCCTTCCCCCAAACCATGTTCATCCACAGCACTGCTAACAGGGCAGCACACCAGCTTGCTGCCACCCTGAGCTCTGCAAAGGGCACATGCCAAGAAGCGTCTCGGGTGTCACTCACCTCATGCTCAAAGAACCGGTCTTCAAGGGTTTTGTCCCCAGGGTTGCTGCCAGCCCCTTCAAAGAGCAGCTTGTATTCCTGCAGGAAGGCATTACATGAGGATATATCCCATACCCAAGCCCAGCAGCACTTGGGGGCCCCCTGTGTCAGACAGGCTACCCTGTCAAGTCAGCAGAGGACGGAGAAGCCAAGAGTCCTTTGAAGAAGCCATATCGTCGCTTAGAGCCTGCAGGAAGGGGCATCAGGTACAGCCCCCTCCATGTACAAACTGGAGTGCTTGGGCCAGGCTCCTGTGCCCACACACACTGGTGCATGCCCTGGCTGCTCAAGAAGGGACACTGACCCCAAACAGGTCCCCAGCCTGCACAAGAGCAGCTTGAGGAACACAGACACATCCAAGCGTGTGCTCCCAGGTCAGCGTCTCCCCTGCGACTGGAGCAGAGCTCAGGGCTGGAGATGGGGCACGCCACTTCTTACTGAAGACACATTTCCACTCCCAAACCAGGCAAGGAGAGCCTGTCATTGCTGCCACACTAACACCTCAAGGGTTTGGTGGTGAGGGCAGTCCCCACACCCCAGGACAGGGCACAGTCTCCCAATCACCCCTGGAATGACAACCACGACTGACAAGCCTACGGCATCCCAGGAAAGCCAAGTCCGACTTGGCCAAGCAGAGCACAGGACCAACAGCAACAGCAGAAGACAGGCACCCCTCTCCCCAGGCTGTCAATCCACAAGTTCCCCCAGATCCCAGAGAAGCTCTGACTCAGAGCAGGCCCTTGTACCAGTCCCCATGGCCCTCACCCCAGAGCACTCACAGGGTAGTAGTCAGCAACGTTTTTGACTTGCTCGTAGTCATCTGCCCTGGCCAACTGAGCCAGGCCCTCGGGGTAGAGCTTGCCACAGTGTGGGAACAGCTTGGCTCGGTCCTCCTTGGACAGCTCAGTACCAAAGGAGTTGATGGTGATAATGAAGGCCCTCCTGTCAGCTTCAAACTGCGGGGCAAGAGAGAGGTTCACCTTGGGATGCAGCATCCTTACCAGAGGCCAGCAGATACTACAGCTGCTCTGCACAGAGTCACGTCAGAGGGCAGCATGAGGAGCCTGCCAGGATGTGCACAGCTCTCCAGCGCTCAGCCAGGGCAGGCTACACGTGCAGGATCCCAGTATACCCAGTAGATGATGCCTGGGGAGCAGGCAGGTGAGGAAATCCCCATCCCAGGCACAAGCCAAATCCCGCCCAAGTCCAGGAGTGTGTTTCACCTACTGCTCCTGAGCCCTGAACATCCCATAGCAAGCCTTGGCATGGAGACCTGCTGTGCCCTGAACAGCTCTGGTTGCTCTCCTGCTTGTTATCCATATGAGAAGATGAAGATCTTGCCACAAAGGCAACAAATGTGTCAACAGCCGGCAAGATCAGGACTGGGGAACTAAAGTTATGTGCAGAGAGTGTTCTCCAGGTCTCCCAGTGAGCAGGCAGAGTGGGCATGGGGTTGCTGAAGAGTATCTTGAGCATCCTTAATGCTGGCAGGCAAGCTGGGCCTGAACATCACTACAATACCATGCCAGTTATGGGAGTTTCCAGACCTACCTCCAGGATTGGGCACATGGCATCTGCTGTGGTGCCTCCCAGTGTCTTGCAGAACTTGTAGAAGGACTCCAGGTAAGCCTGGAAGAGAGAGGGCAGGTGAGCACTCTGCTACACAGCTTCATCTACCGTCCCACAGGGCCCTTCAGCAGAGGACAGAAAGCAAGCAGGGAGGATCCCAGATGCTCTCTAACACAGCACAGGAACTCTGGCCCCGTGTGAACTTGCCCACACAAGGACAGTGCTTCCCCAGGAGCTGCAGACATGACGGGTTGTGGTTGGGTTCGTTCAAGTGACTGCATGAGCTTACTGTGGGCAAGATCCCCGGGCAGCAAGGCTAAAGCCTATTTTTCTCCTTTGAATCATCTAACTCATTTACTGAAGTCTCACGTGGTTTCCTGACCCTGCTCTGGCCTCCACAAACGTGCCAAGCCACACAACCATAGCTGCAAGACCTACACTCAGAAAGTACCGCTGTGTAAGCAGAGTCAAGGGATGAGACAGGACATCTGTGAAAGAAACCAGCCATCCCCTCTAATTCTCTTTTCACACTGCGGCCTCTTGGTCTCCATCCCAACTGGAGCACTGCAGAAAACATAAGGCCAGGGACAGTAACGTTGCCTCCAGGAAACGTAATCCTTTGTGGAGATGCACCGTGATCCAGCTGGAAGATGACTCTGTGTCCCAGGGGGAGCCTAGGAAGGCTGTGCATGGCTAAAAGTACCATTCGGAAATAACGTTCTCAGAAGAAGTGATGGTGTGATAAAGCACTTCCCTGGGCAGAGAGCTGCAACCAGAGTCTCTTCAAAGGGATGGAATAAAATGATGCTGAGACATCACAAATCTCTGCTTTGTCACAACAACTCCTGGACTGAAGACGGACCAAGAATGCACGTGTTGGACACCCTCAGCACTAGGAAAACACCTGGATTACTGTGTTCTGTAAATATTTGTAACCACACAGTGCAAGAG